TCGGGGATCTGCAGGTAGCTGGCGGCGGCCAGCACGGCGCCCAGGCTCGGCTCGGCCCCGGGGGCCACGGCCGCCGCCGCCGCCGCCTCCGCGCCGTCAGCCAGGCGGCCGGTGTAGATGAAGTCCAGCACCAGGCGGAACACGGCCGGGCTCACCATGTCATGGTCCAGGTTCAGCAGGTTGTCGTGCACCACCAGGGACTTGAGGTAGGCGCTGCTGGCCGCCAGCACGTTCTTGTGCGCGCGGAAGAGGGCGTTCTGCACCACGATGATCACGTCGCACAAGAAGCCCTTGGTGCGCTGGCTGTTGAGCTGCAGCAGCAGCTGCCTCGAGTGGCCGGGCGCCTCCATCGTGTCCAGCATCGTCTGCCCAGCACACTCTCCTGCGGGGACACACAGCAGCCGGGTAAGAGGCCCGCAGCGAGACCCGGCCGCCGGCACTTCCCCTTCCCCTTCCCCTCAGCTGAGCAGGGGCATGCAGCACCGCGGCCTGGGCACGGGCGGAGGACCAGCGGCCTCCGGGAGTGGGCGCCTTGGGCGCCTAGGCCGCCTGGGCCGAAGCAAGAGGAGGAGCGGAGCAGAGCGCCCAGCGGGTGGAGAGGCGGCCGGGCCGGGGCTGTGCGCGCCCCGGAGCCCCCGGCGCTGCTGGGCACACGGACTGGGTGCTTCCCAGGAGAAAAAAACTGTTCAGGCGAGGTGACCCTTTCGGAGACAGTTACCCGATTTGAGTAAAATGTCCGCTTCAGGAAAAGTCATTCAGGGCCCAGAAGTTTGCTCAAGTGGGGAGAAGGGGAGCCGAGCGAGAAGCGCCTCCCGCCTCGGGAGAAGTTGCCCCAGCTTGGGGAAGTGATACGGAGCACGGGAGCGCGGGGCCCCGCCGTGGCGCCGCCCCGGCCGGGGGCTGTCAGGCCCTCGCTCGGGGCCCGGGCAGCGGCCGCGGCGCGGGGAGAGGAGGCAGCGGCCGCCGTGGCGGGCAGAGCGCGAAGGCCGGGCCCCGGCGCGGGGAGGGCGTTATATCGGGGCAGGAGGCTGAGGCAGGAAGCAGGTGGGGGGGAGGGGGGAGCCACGCAGCTCCCAGGGGAGGGAGGGGGCAGCGCCCCGGGCGGGCACGGCGCGCAGCCGGCTGTGGCCCTGACCCTGGCCTGCGCCCCACCCGCGTTCCGGCCCCAGGCCCGGCCTCGGCCCGACGTTTGCGGACCCGGCGCCTCCCTCCGCAGCTCCCCGGTCCCCTGCTCCCCCGGAACTCTGCCGCCCCAAACTTGGGGGGAAACTTTCCCAACTTCAGACAGGGCGGGACGAGCGCGCCGGCCCCGGTCCCTCCGCTCCCAGGTTTTTTGCTCTCGGCCCCCAATTTCGGCGGCGGTCTGGCGGCCGTGGGGCCCGAGCCCTGAGCTTCCTCGCCCGCCCCACCCTGCTCCCTGCCTGGCCCGCAGGGCCTCGCAGCTGGTTACCTGCGGCCGGAGCCCGGCGAGCGGCCCTCCCCGCGGCGGTGGCAGCTCCTAGCCCGCGCCCCACCAGACCCCGCTGCCAGGCGCCGAGCTGTGCCAGGGCAGCGCCCCTGCAGCCCCGCCCGCCAGCTCCCCTTCCCTTCCCTTCCCCTCGCCTTTCCAGCCCATGTGCGGGCAGAGCCGGCCCCGGGCCGTTGACCCCAGCGTGAACCCGGCGCGCAGCAGCGGCCCGGCGGTCCCCAGTCCTCCAGGGGCGACAGCCAGACCCCCGAGCGCCAGCCGCTAGTCGCGTTGGGGCGCCCACGCCAGAGGATGCGCCCAAGGCGGCCAGCCGCGCGACGACCGGGCTGTCCCGGGTCCCCTGTCCTTCCCGGTCCCCAGCTCCAGGACCCACCTGGGGGGCATGTCGGAAGCCCCGGGCCCGGCTGTCGGCGGATCCAGGGGGGGACGTGGCTGCGCTGCGCTGCCCTCCGCCCGCCGGGCCCCCGGTCGGTCTGTCCTGCTGCTCCGTCCTCCCCGCGTCCTGGTCGCGTCTCAGCCCCGCCGCGCTTTCCGCACACTCTTATCTGGAGCGGCCCGGGCCGGCGGGCGGTGCTGCGGCTGCGGCGCCACCTCGCGGCTGCGCAGGGCTCTACAGGCAGGCTCGCGGCTACCCTTCTGCACACCTGGGCGGGCGCCTCTCCCGATGCCCAGCTGGGCGGGGGATCCAGCCGCAGGTTCGCGCTCCCAGATGTGCCCACCTGGGGCCCTGGACCCCAGACCTGCGAGCCCCTCCCAACCATGGCGCCTTGAACTGAGCCCCGATCCAGAAAATTCCTGCCTGCGGAAGAGGGGACTCTTGGCGGCAGTAGGTGGTGGGAGGGAGGTTGTGGAAATCCTAAACCAGACGAAGATAGACAGGTTCTGGGTGCCTCTCCTTAGACATCTCTGTAAGGGACTGTCCACTCGGGCCTACCCAACATACGCAGCATACCAACCCTCACTCAGGTCCTTAGATCAGGTTTGCACATCAGAAGCCACTCGCGCCCACACCCTCTCCACGCTGGTGCGCGCGTTTGCAGACACGCACCATCGCTGCCAGAAGCCCAATTCTTTGGGACAATCTAGGGGCTGCCGCGTAGGGTAGCGCTCTCCGTGAACCTGGGGAGAGGCGTTCCCCAAACAGCCCGCCCTGAACTTGCGTGTCTCCAGTGGGGCATCAGAATAACGAACTGCAAATGGCTGGATGGCGCCTCCTGGGGACCCCAGCCCCCAGATTCCCAAAGGTAGCCGTCTGGAGAGACTTCTCATGAATGAGTGCTTTAATTCCAACCCTCCTCCCCCTGTCCCGACAGAAAAACGACAGAAGGGGCTGAGATTCGGGACCCCTCCCCAAAGGTCCTGCAGCCCACATAGAGGCCAGGCTCATAAGGGTGACGGCTGTCCTGGAAGGGAGAGGCCCCCGCACTGGCGCGCAGGTGCTCCAACGGCCACTCCGGAAGTGTCCCCACGCGGCCCCACCGAAACGCCAGGAGGGTGTCGAGCCCCGCGTCTCCGTGGCCCACGCTCCGCCTCCTCCGCAGGGCTCCTGACCCCCGCCCACACACGGGGGGGGGCGGCCCCGAGAACGCCCGCAGCTTCTGATTGGCTGTGCATCCCTCCGCGGCCGTGCGCGACAGGCTGGAGTGCCGGGTAACCATGGTAACCGATGAGGTGCGCCCCGACCGCGCAGCTCCGCGGCCTTGGAGAGCTTAGCAACCGCGCGGGGCAGCAGGGGGGCGGGGGCCGCTCTCGCCGCCTCCCGCGCGGCCCCCGCGCCCCCGCGTCCCCGCTAGAGGTGGTGTCTGAATCATTCCGCGAGGGGCGGCCACTCAGGACCCACCAGGGGTCCCTGACAGACAGCAAGGCCTTGGGCGCCCCCCAGAGGCTGCTTTCCTCGAAGGCGGCTTCAAGCCTCGGATGCCCGGCGGCGGCTTGTGGTCCACGCAGGTACGCCGGGTGCCCGCCGCCCAGCCCGTTTCCGCCCGCTGCTCCAGATCCGTCTTAACCAGTTCCTCCCCGGCTCCCCACGGAGTCATCTCAAGAGAAGTGCTGCGGTCCCGGAGGTGAAAACAGCAGGCACCGGGCCTGCGGGCCTCCGGGGGAGGCGGCCCGAGGCGCACCGTCTAAGGGGCGTGCTGTGGGACCAGGTGAAAGAGGATGGACACTGGCAGGCCTCCAGAAGACGTGCTTTAAAAGTGGGCTTTGACGGCTGAATAGGAGTACTCCCATGTAGCAAGAAGACACGGAACAGGGGCTGGTGGCAGGAAAGGGGTAGCTCTGGGAAGCCAGATCCCAAAGGGCAAGCAGGTCTTGTCTGCTTCCCACGTCTCCCTTCGAGGGGTCAGAGCGCAGCCGCGCAAGGATCCCCCAGCCCCACGGGTCCTTTGTGCGGTGTGGCTGTGGGCCGCCGACCCGCCCCACCCAGGGTCTGCTCTGCTTTCACTCCTCAGCTCTCTCACTGCCCCTGGCCCCTTCCCCCAGGAAGGGTCGCACAGCCCTGCTCCCTGCGGTGGCAGCCGCGGGGCCCTCTTGCCTTCCTGTGGACTTCACCCTTGGACTCCCCCTGCCGTGCCTGGCGGCCCCTCCCCACTCCTGGGCAGCTCCTCTTTGAACGCGCCGCTCCCCGTACTGCCCGGGGCCAGCCTCGCTTAACCTTGATGGAGGGACCATCCCTTTCCCTGCTCCTGCCCAGGGAGACCCCGCCCCCCGGCTTAGGATCTCCCTGTTTCTGGGACTCAATTCCTCTAGGAAGCGGCCCCTCTCCTCCAAGCTGCTGGGCCCTTGGTCTCCTCTCCTTCCCACCCTCCTAGGAGCCCTGCCAGTGCCCATCATGCCACACATGGCCCCGTGGCAGCTCCTGGGTGCCTCTTCCTCTTCTCCCCTGGTCCCGAACCTTATCCCTCAGTCAGTCGCAGAAGACCCCTTTGCTCGTCTCTACTTCCCTGCGTTCCCTGGGGTCTTCAGCCCCTGCCTGAATCTCTCTCCAGACCCCTGCTATCTCTCCGCGACTATTCTTCCCCTACTCGCCCCCGCCCCCCCGCCTGTGCCCTAATCCCCTCTGGGTCCAGCTTCCTCTCCCGCCCTCCACACCCCCTCCCAGAAGGTGACGACACCGCAGTGGCCGTGCGGGTGTGACGTCATAGGGCCGGTCAGTCCAGTACTGAGGCGTGGGGGTGGGGGCTACCAAGTGAAGACCGGCGGGGCAGGGACTGTGTCCCTGGGAGTCCGAAGCTCCGGAAGAAGAGAGTGAACAAACATGTACCCGGCCCTCCGCGCCCTGCCTGCGCTGAGCACCTCCAGCCCCAAGCCCGCAGTTCCGGAAAGTTAACCCTTTGTGGGCCTCGCCAGGGGGCGCGGGCTCCGTCCACCCCGGTCCTGCTTCCGTGCACCTCCTCCCCCTTCCAGCGCCCTGTCGCCTCGGTCCCCACCCCCACCCCCCCGCCTCGCCACTATAAATAGCCCCTTTTCCCGTTTCCTAAATTCCCTGCTGACGTCGGCAGCGCGTCAGTGTGTAGGAGCCGCGGCCGCATGAATGAGCCGCCGCACGAGTACTACGCGCGCCTATAAAAGCCGCCGCGCCGGGCCGGGCTGCGGGAGGCGAGCGGGCGCCGGGCGACGCGGCCCGCCAGGTAAGGGGGACTGAGCGGCCGCCGCGCCACCGAGGGACCAGCGCGCGGACACGGGCGGGAGGGCGAGGAGGAGCCCCGCGGGCGGTGGGCTGGAGGGCCTCTCGGGACGGACACGGGGCAGGTGGGAGAGGGCCGGGGTCCCTCGAAGCCAGGGGAGCCCGGCCGGAGGCGGACACCAGCCCGCGCAGCACCTGCCTGCGCCCAGACGGAGACGCGGCCACTCTGGAGGAGCAGCGAGCGGAGGACGGACCCTAGAGTCCCCGTGGCGCTCCCTGGGGCTCCTGCGCCATCCTCGCAAGAAAGTGGCGAGAAGGTGGCTGGCGCTCCGGGAGACGCAACCCCTCGTTCCCCTCCCCGCAGCGCGGTGACTCAGCCGCGCGGCCCCCGACCGGCTGAGCGGGGGCGCAGGCAAGAGACAGGGGCCCACCGGCCCGCCGACCAGGCTGGCTCTCTCTCGAGACCCCCACCCCGCATGCCGCTGGGGCGCCCCCTCCTCGTCCCGCCCCGTCGGACTTGTCCCGCGGCGCCCACGACTTCCCGCCTCTGCGAGCGGAGCTGTCCTCTCAGGACCAGGCGGGGGCGGGGCTTCGGCCCGCCCGCCACCGGAAGTGCCTCCCCGCTGGGACGTCTTTGACGTCACAAGGCTCTGACGTCAGGGGTCGCGTGCCTGTCCGCGAGCGCGGGGGCCAAGAAGGGCGGGAGACGTGGGGGAGGAGCAGCAGCAGGGCGCCGGGGGCACCCCCGCCTGGGCAGAGCGCCGGCACCTTGGCTCTAGACTGCTTACTGCCCGGGCCGCCCTCAGTAACAGTCTCCAGTCACGGCCACCGACGCCTGGCCCCGCCCCAGGACCTCCGACCGGGCCGCCAGCCGCCCCCTCCTGGGGTCCCGCAACCCTGCGCTGCCGCTGTCCGCGGTGCTGATCCAGCGCGGCGCAGCCCTCGGGCCGTCCGGGCCCCGGGCCCCAGGGGGCTGCGAAGGCCTGCCAGCCCGCACGCACGCTCCACAGCCGCGGCTCGGTCCCCGCCGCGCGCGCGCGCGCGCCGCCCCGCGCCCGCGCCTCTGCCCCGCGGTCCTGACGTCAGCCTGCTCCGAGCCGCCGCGGTGCCGTCAGCAGCGCGCACCCCGCCCCCGCGTCTCCAGGGCAACCGTGGCTTTCGATTGTTACTGTGGGAACCGGAGGTAACAGTCTACAGCCATGGTCGCCCCGCAGCACGCCCACGCGCCGCGCCGCTCCCCGCCAGCCTGGGGCACGGAGCAGGAGGAGGAGGAGGAGGAGGAGACGGGGGCGGGCAGCCGAGATCCACGCGCCCGCCGGCACGGTGAAGGGCTTCCCGCAGCAGCCGACGCAGAGAAGGAAGCGTGACCGTCCCGCCGTCCCAGCCAGGGGAGCAGAGCAGGGGATGGGCGAAGGGCTAGTTTTGGGGTTGGGATTTTTTATTTGCTCGGCGGGAGGGAGGCTACTGGGACCCGAGGCCCGGGAAAATGTTCTCTGGCTCCTGGGGACTGGAGGGGGAGACGGAGGAAAGTCTTCTTAAACACGCTACTACCCCATTCATCCCGCAGGAGCCCCGCCCCCCGCCACGCACACACTTCTCCCCACAGAGGATAACAGAGGCTCTCAACCCTCGCCATGCCTGTGGCCAGGAAAGTTAACCTGTTCTCCAAAGCGTCGTCCGAGCAGCTGCGTTCTCACTTCAGCCTCTCTAGGTGTCAAAGTAGCCCTAAAGAGGAGACAGGAGTATCACAGGGGCCGAAGTGCTGTTATGCCAGCGAAGCGTGAGCAATGAATGACTTCAAAAACAAAACCCAAAACACGTGTAGGTCATCTGCCACTCATTTGAGGGGCTGGCTGCTGTCTGTGTCAGGTGCGAATCCTCCAGGGGCAGTGTTGGGACGTGTTCATGCAGCCCAGCCGCTCTACTCATTAATCCAGCTTTTCATTACGTCTCCACGTATCTCCCTGCTTTTCCGAAGAACTTCTCAAGCGGCTGCGGCCGATTCCCTGTAATCAACATCCACATGCTGCCCTACATCCGTGCCCATCCAGGACCTGAGGTCTTCCACAGATCCCAGTGCACCTGACTGCATTCCAGGGGCCACCCGTGGGCAGACTGCAGTGTTTGCGGGTGGGAACCGGGCAGCGGGAAGCAGGAGGTCCAACCTGGCTTCAGCAGCTGGTAAAGGGGCCAGGTTCTGTTTCTGACCCCTCTCTAAAACAGGAATGATAATCTTGGCAAGTGTACTGTGAGCTTGCAGTAGGCTCAGGTGAGTTAAGGAAAGCCATGTGCACAGCAGAATTCTATTTCTTAAGCGTTCTATCAGGCTACTGCTGGAGCTCTGGTCACGCAAGCAGAAAGTGCAGGGGAGGATACAGGTCCCTGAGCAGATGCGCCGGTGCAGCAGGACTGCTGTGGAGGGGCTCTTTGCTAGGGGACTCTTTCTCCCAAGAGCTTTAGGAATCCAAGGTGGAGTCAGAGAGAGAAAAGAGAAATGGTAGGGATATGCTGGAGACTGAGGCCCGAGGGGGAAACCACCGGAGGACCCACAGAGCTGTCTGCTGTCTTAGAAATCATCCAGTGTGCACACACATCTGCTGGATTGAGGACCTGAAGCCCAGATGGGACACAGCCCAACAGGTGGGGGGGTGGGGGGTGAGCACTCTGATTTTTTTTTTTTTTTTTTGACAGGCAGAGTGGACAGTGAGAGAGAGAGAGAAAGGTCTTCCTTTCTTCCTTTGCCGTTGGTTCACCAACAGCCGCCGCGCGCTGCGACTGGCACACTGCGCTGATCCGATGGCAGGAGCCAGGTGCTTCTCCTGGTCTCCCATGGGGTGCAGGGCCCAAGCACTTCGGCCATCCTCCCCTGCACTCCCTGGCCACAGCAGAGAGCTGGCCTGGAAGAGGGGCAACCGGGACAGAATCCGGCGCCCCGACCGGGACTAGAACCCGGTGTGCCGGCGCCGCAAGGCAGAGGATTAGCCTAGTGAGCCGCGGCGCCGGCTCTGCTCACTTTGTAGAGCAGAAGAGCAACAGTGAAGGTCAAGAATGTTGAGTTCTTACACCCAAACCCAACTCTAAGTTACTGAGCCTCTCTGTGCCTGTTTACTTAATTGCAAAACTAAGCTAATGATGGCTAATAATAGTGCTTACCTCAGGAAGGTGTGAGACCCAATTAGGCAACATTACAGCTGCTGCTTATCACCGCGTCTGGCATGCAGTTAGTAACTATGCTACTCCTATTTCTAGCCTCTAGACCTCATTTTCCATGGCTACACATTGCAAGCTTAGATCAACGACCCTTCTGGGGAGCTTCCTCCCTGTCCCTGGTGCATTGCATGAGCATCACGTGGTTTTTGTTGTTTTCCCCTAATCATACATACCAGAAACTTCTACCCCTAAGGCAGTGCTATTCAATAGTGCGTCACATGCGAATGCCCAGGGTGGTCTGCCAGGATGCAGGCTCTTGGCCCCCACTGATTGGGACTCACTTGCTCTGGAGTTGGCCCCAGGATTCCAGGTTTCAACAGAGGAGCCCAGTGGGAGTGGGCCTCTGTGTATGTAGGGGGGAGGGCACAACCTGAGGTTCTCTTGTTCCTTGAGGGCATGCTGGCTGGTGACTTAGCTCGTGGGTCAGGAGCCAGTGGGCCACACGTTTCCCTCTCATCCAGCCTGCATTCTGATTCTCTCCTTACCCCAGCGTGAGCACTCTACCCTACCCTTCCTGGCCCTGCCCCTCTCCCTCATACACACTTCTAGCTTTAAGCCTGGGCTGGAAATTCCTTCCCCTCTGTCCCTTCATTGTCACGATCCCAATTTGCAGCAGCAAGGGTGTGCAAGGCATCGTTTTTACCTCTTGGGCCTAACCACAGGGGGCAGCATACAACTGCTCATAGACTGCCGCCAGGGCACATGAGCCCTTCAGTGCAGATCCATGTTATTTCCTGAAAAGGCAGAAATCCTGAATTTCTGTGTGAAATATCTAGCATTTTAAAGTGTTTTTTTTTTTTTGGTCTTCTAAAACTTCATGGGTCAAATCCAACAGGCGTACAGAAGTAACACCAAGAGCAAGGCAGAGGCCAACTGTAGTGCGAGAAGTGCCCTCCACCCCTCCCAGCACTCTGCGGTAACTCAGACTCTACACAGATAACCCATGCTGCCAACACCCCCACCTTCAAAAAAAAAAATCTTGGACAGCTCTCTGTAGTGAGGAGCTCGGGTCTGGGCTGTACTCGCTACAGCAATGACGACCAGCATCAATCCCCAAAACCCCGTGGGTGGAGTCAAGCGTGGAAGAGGCCATTTATTCTCTGCCGTCTCTGGCCTTCCCCTCGGGAGGCGCGCAGGCTTGGAGGGGAGGCCGGCGCACAAGCTGCAGGGACTACGGTGGAGGACGCCCAAGGTCAGCAAACCCAGGTGGATCCTTGCTGGATGGAAATCCTTCCCCGATTCAGCCACCGAGGCCCCTTTTCCTCCTTGGACGTCCGTCCACACAGCGCGAGTACACCCGTGCACACCCGAATGAGCTTTGCTCTGGGAGCTCACAACTGGACTTATCTCCCTGCTGCCCAGGATGGCCATGGAACTGGACTTCCGTTATGAAGTGGGACTCTGTGTACCAGGAAAAAGATGCTCAACATCCAAGTCACCGCTTTATTGTGTGGCGGCCATGGTGACGCCAGCCCCCGCTTTCCCATGTCACTCTCCTCTCACCCAGGGTTCTCTGGCTTTGTTCATGTTTCAGTAGCAGAACTCAAAACTTCCATCAAGGTGCCCTCCTCCCCTTTCCTCCAGTGACAAGCAGGCCTCACATGACTTGAGTCCTCAGAATTGACCACTGTCGGGAGGTGAGGGAAAGGAGCAGGAAGACGCTAGAGGCTGCCCCGCGTGGGGAGGCTGGGGAGAGGCCTTTGTTGATTTTTCACTCTGCAAACTGGTCCAAGAACTTGAGGTAGGCCTGGCGCTGGGCTGCGGCTGCAGGAATGAAGTGACCACCAGAATGGGTGAGGGTGACGGCTCCGGGGAATCGGCTGGCCAGCTGCACGCTCTCCTGAGCAGGAATGACACGGTCGGTTTCCCCAAAAACATGTAGGGAAGGCAGTGACAAGGGGCTCTTCAAGATGGGTTCCTTGAGAACAAGGCCCCGGGGACAGAAGCCAGAAACCAGGATGATAAACCGCGGTAAAGGGAAGCGCGGGTCTCCCGCCTGGCCCAGGGCACACACAAGGGCGGCGAGCGCGGCCCCCTGGCTGAACCCGAGGATTCCGTCAAAAGGCCCCAGGCTGCTCAGGGCTCGGGCCACCGCTGCCAGGGCCTCCTGCAGCCCCCGGCACACGGCGGGCTCTTCCAGCGCGGAGAAGGTGTCTGCTGCAGCCTCTGAAAACCACCAGCCTCGAGGCTGCTCCTCCGGGGCGCAGGGACCTGCAGGGACACGGGGAAGAGGCGGGGTGAGCGCAAGGAGGACCCTGCAGGGAAGGAATGGGGGTGGGGGTAGGCTGGGGAGCGAGAGAGCGGGGGCTGAGGGGAGAACACGTGGAGAAAGAAGGCAGGGAGTGAACCCGTGGCCCTGGACCCCGAGGCCTGGGAGGACAAGGCTGGAATCGGTGAGGGTCTGGGGCAGGAGAAATGAGGGGTGTGGACGGAGGGGGGTACACGGCGCGGGGAAGCGAAACGGAGAGGACGTTCTGGATGCATTTCCGGAGCAGGAAGCAGGGTGCGTCTCACCGGAGTCAGGCTCCGCCGCTTCAGAGACCGGGTGCGGGCCGCTGAGGCACACGAGCTCGGCGCGGCCTCGCAGCGCCTTCCTCAGAGCGCCAGTCTTCTCGCGGAAGCCCCGTTCGCTCTGCCGGAAGCCCGCCAAGCACAACACCCGCAGCGGCCGACGCGCGGCCATCACGGGGGCAGCGTGCTCCACAGCGGCGGAAGCCGCCTTTCCCCGAGCGGAAGTAGAACGCCAGGGGGCGGGACCAGATACCGACGCCACACCCTTGAGGGTGGGCCTCGGAGCGAGCTGGGGTTTCCATGACAACAGGGAGGGGCAGAGCGCAGCCAGAGCAGGGGCGGATACCTGAGACCCCGAAGCGTCTCACGGAGCCGGCGGCGCCACCTCCTCGCCTCTGCAGCTGCAACCCTCGCAAGCCGCGGCTGGAGACGGGCGCGTGAATCCCTCCTGCACCTAGGGCCGCAGACCGGTCAGGATTTCGCTTTCGCAACGTCCTCTGCCCCGCTCCCGTGCACTTACCGCCGTGGCCGCAGGGCGGCGGTCTGGGCTCGTGTTGCCAGGGAGGCAGCCAGTGCCAAGGCCGCACCCAGGGGCGGTCTCTCCTCCCTCCCTGCTGCCTCCCGCCTACCTTCCCGAGTGCGGGCCGGCCAGCGGGCTGAGGAGGCCGGTCCTTCCCGTGGTTCACGGTCCACGGCCCCAAGGAGCTGCCGGCATAGAAGTCCATGGGGTAGGGCTGCTGCCAGGAAATGTCCCGCAGGGCCACGGCCGCCTAGGGCAAGAAAACCGGACGGCGACGCTTGGCAACCTTTTTCTGCGCCTGCTCACAGACTTCAGTCCTCACCAGTTCCATGAAGAAGGGCGGATGGTCCCAACCCGCAGGAAGGAAACGCGAGGTTCCGAGAGGTTACGGGACTTGCCCAGAGCTCAAGGACTGTGGAGTCTGGAGTCTGACCCGGGGACCTCTGCCCAGCCCTCCCACTCCGTTAGACCTCTCCCCTGACAGACACATCAAGGTGCAGGGCCCACCCTCTCCCGGGGACCTTAGAAACGGGATTACCTCATAGGGCGTCAGCAGAGGCTTGGGGAAGGCTGTGCCCCAGTCAATGGAGAGGCGAGGACAGGCCACCTGCACCCAGCTGGGAAGGGAAGTCCCGTCAGGCCCAAGGCGCGGACCTACCCTTCAGGGGTCTACAGTGACTCCAACACATCGTTAATTGATAGGGTTTTGAAAGGCAGAGAGAGAGAAAGGGAGCTCCCACTGGCTAGTTCAGACCCTAAAGAGCCAGAGCCGGGCCAAGACGAAGCCAGAAGCCAGGAACTCGGCCCAGGTCTTTCACCCCGGCGGCAGGGACCCAGACGCCTGAGCATCAGCTGCCGGCTCCCAGGGTGCTCCTGGGCAGGCAGCTGGAGTGAGGAGCAGGGCCAGGACTCAGACCCAGGCACTGCTACGCAGCAGCATCTGAAGCACTGTGCCGCGCGCTGGCCCGCAGGGAAGCCCGACTGTCGCTTCTTTCCTCCCGACTCCCGCCTGCTGGGGGAGCTGTCGGACTTAGTGCCTGCTACAGTGCAAGTGCCCCCCACCAAGCTCTTCCCACTCGGGGCTGGTGCTGTGGCGCAGCAGGTTGAGCCACCGCTTGCGATGCCGGCATCCAGTATGGGCCCCAGTTGGAGTCTCGACTGCTCCACTTTTGATCCAGCTCCTTGCTAATACGCCTGGAAAAGCAGTAACAGAAGGCCCAAGTGCTTGGGCCCCTGCACCTGCATTGGAGACCCAGGAAGAAGCTCCTGGCTCCTGACTTCGACCTGGCCCAGCCCCGGCCTTTGTGGCCATTTGGGGAGTGAACCAGCAGATGGAAGATCTATGTCTTTCTCTTTTTCTCTGTAACTCTTGCCTTTCAAATAAATAAATAAAAAATAAATAAATGAAACACCTCTTCTCACACAGAACAACCATGATGTTGCGCCCCACAGTCAGGAAAAACGAGAGCCATACCCCCTATTGGGTAAATGCTCTATAAACATTAATGTTTCACAGCGCGGGGCAGGCAGTTAGCCTAATGGTTGAGAGTGCCTGGTTGTATAGCAGGCTCCAGCTTCCTGCCAATGCAAACCCTGGGAGGCGGCAATGATGGCTGAAGTGGCTGGGCTCCTGCCGCCCGTGTTAGAGACAGGAAGTGCATCCCCAGCTCCGAGCGTCAGTTAGGCCCAGCCCCAGCCCCAGCTGTTGTGGGCATCTGGGCAGTGAACCAGCTGATGCTCTGTCTCTGTGTCTCAAATAAATGCAGTGGTTTTGTTGTTGTTGTTGTTGTTTTGTTGTTTTGGAAGGAAGAGAGAAAGAGAGGGGGAGAGAGGGAAGATTTTTTTTTTAACTTATTTGACAGGTAGAGTTAGGCAGTGAGAGAGAGAGACATAGAGAAAGGTCTTCCTTTTCCGTTGGTTCTCTACTACAGCTGGAGCTGTGCCGATCTGAAGCCAGGAGCCAGGTACTTCCTCCTGGTCTCCCATGTGGGTGCAGCGCCTAATCACCTTGGCCATCCTCCACTGCTCTGCTGAGTCACAGCAGAGAGCTGGACTGGAAGAGGAGCAGCTGGACTAGAACCCAGCGCCCATATGGGATGCCGGTGCCGCAAGCAGAGGATTAACCAAGTGAGCCACGGGGCTGGCCCAATGCAGTGGTTTTTTAAAAGATTTTTTTTTTTTTTTTTGAAAGGCAGAGTTACAATGACACAGAGACAGGGTGAGACAGCGATCTTCCATCTGCTGGCTCACTCCCCAAATGGCCTGCAGCAGCCAGGGCTGGGCCAGGCTGCAGCCAGGAGCCAGGAGCTTCTTCCAGGTCTCCTGTGTGGGTGCAGGGGCTCAAGGACTTGGGTCATCCTCCGCTGCTTTCCCTGGTGCATTAGCAGGGAGCTGGATCAGAAGTGGAGCAGCTGAGATTCAAACCAGCCTCCATGTGGGATGCTGGTGCTGCAGGAGGAGGCTTAACCCACCACACCACCGCTCAGGCCCCTCAAATAAAGGGAGCAAGCATTTGGTCTAGTAGTTAAGATGCCCTATCCTATATCAGAGTACCTGGATTCAATACTGACTCCGATCCTGACTCCAGCTTTTTATTTTTGTTAAGCTTGATTTTTTAAAATTTTTTTTATTTATTTACTTTTTTGGACAGGCAGAGTGGACAATGAGAGAGAGAGACAGAAAGGTCTTCCTTTTCCGTTGGTTCACCCTCCAATGGCCGCTGCAGCCGGCGCACCACGCTGATCCGAAGGCAGGAGCCAGGTGCTTCTCCTGGTCTCCCATGGGGTGCAGGGCCCAAGCACCTGGGCCATCCTCCACTGCACTCCCGGGCCACAGCAGAGAGCTGGCCTGGAAGAGGGGCAACCGGGACAGAATCCGGCGCCCCGACCGGGACTAGAACCCGGTGTGCCAGTGCCGCAAGGCGGAGGATTAGCCTACTGAGCCACGGCGCCAGCTAAGCTTGATTTTATTTATTTGAAAAGCAGAGTTACAGAGAGGGATGGAGAAACAGAGAAAGAGGTCTTCTTTCCACTAGTTCACTCCACAAATGGCCACAATAGTTGGGGCCGGGCCAGGCTGAAGCAAGGAGCCAGGAGCTTCTTCTGGGTCTCTCACGTGGGTCAGGAGCCCAAGCACTTAGGCCATCCTCCACTGCTCTCTCAGATGCATCAGCAGGAGCTGGATCAGAAGTGGAGCAGCCGGGACTCAAACTGGCGCCTATAAGGGACACTGGTGCTGCAGGTGGCGGCTTTACCTACTATGCCACAGCACCAACCCGACTCCAGCTTCTTGCTGATGCAACCCTGGGAGGCAATGGTGATATCTCAAGTGACTAAGTTCCTGCCACCCACATGGGAGACCTGGATTGGATTCCTGGCTCCTGCTCTCTGCTTCACATGGCCTCAGCCCCACTGGGGGTCACTGTGGGCATTTAGGGAGGGAACTGGTAGATGGCAGCTCGTTGTGTTTTTAATTCTCAATACAGCCAAAAAAATTTTTGTGGGCCAGCACTGTGGCGTGGCAGGTTAAGTTGCTGTCACATCCCACATCACAGTGCTAGTTTGAGTTCCAGCTACTCTGTTTCCTATCCAGTTTCCTGTTAATGCACCTGGAAAGGCAGCAGATGATGGCCCAAGTGCTCAGGCACCTGCCACCATGTGGGAGACCCAGATGGCATTTCAGGTTCCTGGCTTTGGCCTGATCTAGCCTTGGCTACTGCTGAAATCTGGGCAATGAACAAGCAGATCGAAGATCCATCTCTCTCCCTCTCTGCCTTCCAAATAAAATGAATATAAATAATAATTAAATAAAATAATAATATTCAAATTTCTTTACAAGCAATTGGGAGGAGTTGTTTGGCACAGTGACTAAGATGCCCCTTGGGACACTCATATTCCATACTGAAGGCCTGGGTTCACATCCTGACTCTGCTCCCAATTCCAGCTTCCTGGGAATGGCATCCTGGGAGGCACAGGTGATGGCCCCAGGACTTGGGTCCCCACCCTGCACAGGGCTCCTGCTTCAGCCCTAGCTGTTGCAGGCATCGGAAGATTGAACGAGCAAATGGAAGAGCTCTGTCTCACTCTGTCTCTCTGCTTTTCAAAAAAATAATAATTTTAAAAAGAGGCAGGCATATGGCACAGTGGTTAAAATACCACTTGGGACGCCCACATCTCCTATCAGCGTGCCTGGATCTATGTCCTGGTTCTGCTCTTGATTCCCGCTTCCTGCTGACAGGCACCCTGGGAGGCAGCAGTGATGGCTGAAATAACTAGGTCCGTGCCACACATGTGAGACCCCAATTGAATTCCAGGCTCCTGGCTTTGGCCTGGCCCAGTCTTGGCTATTTCAGGTATTTGGGGAGTGAACCAGCAGATGGGAGATCTCTCTGTCTGTCTTTCTCTCTGCCTTTCAAGTCAATAAAATGATAGGTTAAAAAAAATCTTTCTTAATCGTCATGGTCACAAAAGCAGTTGTCACTGACTCCAGCCGTGGACATGTGCTGGGGCAGCTCCCTTAGCGGGAGTCATGCATGAAACTTACGCATCCACGTCCGGAAGCAGGCTCAGCTTGCTAGGGAAGACCTCCGAGAGCAGCAGCCTCACGAAGGGGAGCCCCAAGGCTCGCAGTCGACACTCCAGGTGCTGTCGGGAGAGGCAGAGCTGGGTCACCACGACAAAGCAGTCAAAGCTGGCACCCCAGTCAGTCCCCTCCTCCAGAGGCCACCCAGGCCCGCTGACCTCCAGGATCTTGGGACTGCCCTGGCGGCCCAAAGTGCCCAGAATAA